GAGCAGAATCCAGCCCCCTGAGTAGCCAGAGTGGTCAGGAGCAGAGCCCTCACCTCCCACCCAACCTTCTGGAGGCAACAACAAAGAGCAAAGTGGGGAAGGACAGAGCACGTACAAAACCTATACACAATCACATATGTGTGCAAGTATGATTATATGAAGTATAACGTACATACAAAAAAGTGCATATGTCATTAAATTTTTTTAATTGAGCATTTACTATGTGACAGGTAAGTAACAGTATAAGCCACATTTTATGAATGGAGAAATTGGGGTTCAGAGACCCTAAGTAATATGTTCAAGGTCACATGGCTATTATATGATGGAGAGGGATATGAACCTAGCCGGTCTGTCTCTAAACTGCCTAAACCCTAAACCTTCCATTACATGCTTTTCAAAGATTCCACCAAAGTGGGGGTGGGGTGGGAAGGAGATGGTTGGGGAGTCAAGATATATTGAAACCTTCCTCTCCCCACTCTGCATGGGGAGGCCGCTGCCCAGCACAGGACCAGAGTCATTCCTTCTCTCTTCTGCACCCCCAGCTGGGAGCAGGGGGTCAGAGTCCTTCATGGGATGAAGCCAACCCACCAGCACAGACTCCCTGAATCAGTGCCCTCAACCTCTGGCTCCCTGCCCTCGCTGCCCTCCCATCCGTGCTCCTAAGAGTAGAGGGCCAGAGCTAGGGCAGCAGAGGGAAAGACCTGGTCTAGTTCTCATTTCCCCACCTGCAGGGCTGCTCCCATCCCCCCCTCCCACTGAGTCTGCACTGTTCAAAGTCACCTTGCAAGTGTCTCCCGTGCCAGGGAAGGCAGCCAGGGGAAGAGAAGCAGATGGGCGGCTGACATGGGCAGCATGTTTACAGCAGGCATAGGGGAGGGGGCAGGGGAAGCAGATGTATAACCTAGAACCTGGAATTGGGAGTGACGACCAGACTGAGGGAAGGGCCAGGGGTGAGCCCATAATCTTAGGCTGTCCCTGGAACTGGGTTCATCTGGAAAAGTCTGTGGGTCTGGTGGGCCATGGATGCAGAACCTGATAGCTGAATAGAAGGGTAAAACTGGAGGGGTGGATCTAACACCTGCAGCTACCTGAGAGCCACCATGTTCCCAGGAACCGGAGCTCAGGTCATGATCCCAGGGTCCTGGGATCGAGCCCCATGTCGGGCTCCCTGCTCAGTAGGGAGTCTACTTCTCTCTCTCTGCTCTCTCCGCCCCTGCTCATGCTCACTTGCACTCTCTCTCTCTCAAATAAAATAAATAAAATATTAAAAAAAAAAAGAAAGCTTAACCAGTGTAACCCCTGCAAACCAAGAAAACAACCAGAGAGGGAAAGAAGAAGCCCAGAGCCTGCTGCCCACCCTCTCCCCATCCTGTGCAACCCTGGCCCCTGGGATTTTCCTTCTCTGCTTCTCTGCAGGCTCGGGACAGGCAGGGGTATAGTGGCACCCCACAGAACTGCCTTCAGATCACTCCGTGCCACTTAATGACTGGGAAAAATCACTTCACTTCTCTAAATAAATGCCTAAGATATAGTTGGCACTCAGCAAATGTTCATTGGCACTCCCTTTCCCTTCTCACCACTTCCCACTAGAGGGAAGCCCAGGTGTCGCAGAGGCCAGGGGCAAAGAACCTCTCTCCCTTCCTGATGGCAGGACCCAGGGAGGGGAGGGACAGCGGATCTCCTTCCAGGCACCATTTCTAGCTGACATTGGTGGAGAGGAGGGGCACTTTGGGAATTGATGGACACTACTGGAAATCCTGCAGAGCAGTGGGATGTTGATACCATGTGCTGGCACATTCTTGGGAACACACTGGAACATTCTTTGGGGAACACAAGTACTCCTGGGCACACACTAGAAGTCTACTCTTTGGTATTCGGAGCAACCTAAGCACTACTGGGAGCTCAATGGCAGTTACTAGAGTGTTCCTGGGATTTCGTGAGTGCTGGGGCCTTACAGGGATTCTATCAGAAAGACACTGGGGCATGATAAGAAAGCAATGGGAGTTGCTGGGGGCATACTGGAAAGTTACTGGGAAACTCTGGGGTATTAACAGGGAGCAAAAGCACATGTGTGGGCATTCCTAGATGCACTGGGATTTTAGAGGGAATAATGTCAACTGGGGACCTTTGGCGATAAGCAGGCACTCCCTGTGGGGCACTTATCGATTCCACTAAGTCCTATAGTCTAAGCTGCCCTTCTCTTGAACAGAAGCCTGGGTGAGTAGGGGTGCAGCCTGCCCCTGGGGAGCCAGAGCAAGATGACGCTGCCCTGGAAGATGGAGTAAGCAACTGACCCTTTGACGGAGAAGCAACCACCAATGTGTGCTTCCCAGGTGTGGTGGCAGCCTCAAGGGAACATGCAGCCTGGTTTGGAAAATCAGCCCTGAAGAGGGGAGCAGCTTCCTGTCTGGCCTCAGTCCCCCCAGACTCGGGCCCCAGGCCCTACATCTACCCCCAAGGTGAAGGGACACCGGGGGCACAGGGGAGGCAGGACTGTTTGGCAGAAAGGGCCCTCTCAGGATTGAGGCAGTAAGACTCAGTGGGGCTAAGCAGGGGCCTCATCGACAGCAAAGCCTCCCAGCATATTTTTGTATCCCAGTCGCAGGAAGAGAAATGTGGGGACACACAGGCTAGACCTCTGACCTGTGAAAACCTCAGCTTCTTAGCTGTGGGTGGCAACAGCTCTTAGGAAATCTGGGCTCCTCAGGGAAAAGATAAAGCCTTGGATAACTTACTGCCCCTTTCCCCAATTCCTACCCACTTTTCTGAGCCCTCTCCATCCCTCAAAATCCAGCTCCCCACCCTAGTCCTCCCCAGAAGCCTTGCCCATTTCCAGCAGCCCCTGCTCCTTTTTTTTTTTAAAGATTTTATTTATTTATTTATTTGAGGGAGAGAGAATGAGAGATAGAAAGCACGAGAGGGAAGAGGGTCAGAGGGAGAAGCAGACTCCCTGCTGAGCAGGGAGCCCGATGTGGGACTCGATCCTGGGACTCCAGGATCATGACCTGAGCCAAAGGCAGTCGCCTAACCAACTGAGCCGCCCAGGTGCCCAGCCCCTGCTCCTTTGAATGGCAAGAGCTCTTCAGCAGACCTTGACCTCTGACTTGATCTGTGGTCTTCTCTAGACATGGAAGTCCTTCTCCCTAAGGCCCATGTTGACAAAGGGAGAGCCGTGGGACAGATCAGCCACCTGGCCTTAGGCCTGGCCCCAGCCCCATCAGCATCTGCTAAGGGCTCAGGGCCTGGCAGGAGGCTACTGTGCTCTAGCTAGCATGCAGGTTTTGTTAAGGAGAATACATCAGCTGCTGCCCTACTTGGGCGAATGGGCCCCAGGATAGCTGCATGCCCTGGAAGGCACCAGTGGTACTGCTGGGACAGAGGAGCTCAGACACTTCTCCCCCCCAGCCTAGAGCAACAAAGCCAACCCAAGCCAAAGAAGCTCCTACGCATGCCCTGTCTGGAGGAAGCTTGCACACAAGTTGGACACAGAGAAGGCACGTCACTCAGCTCAGGGCACTGACTTGGTTCCTCTGTGCCCCCCAGAATCAGGAAAACTTAAACCCAGAGTAACCACGAGGCCCCAGGCAACATCATGGACTTGTCCACCCCTCACTCTTCAGCACTGCAGTTACGTTCCCTGTGTCCCTTCACTGGACCTGAGGAATGTGCGTGGCGGAACCAGGATATGTGCACCAGTCCCCCACCTGGAGGCCTCCACACCATCACCCCCGGCCCAGACCTGAGGCAGCAGCTGCCAGAGGCCAGCAGAAAGCAGCAGAGAAGCTTTGCCCTGCACTGGGCTCTGCAGGGTGGCTGGCCTACCTCTCTTCCCTCACCCCTCCTCCTGCTCAGCCAGCTCCGGCCTGGCCATGGGGCAATGAGGAGGAGCGGGAGAGGGACTGAGCCTCAGCATGGCCAGCCCCAGCAGTGGCCACCCACTCCTCCACCCCTGGCAGCACTGAGCCCCCTCATCAGGCACTAATTAAATCCCCCTAATGAGGAAATAAGGATGCAGGAGCCGGCTCCACCGCAGCCTCCCCGGCCCACCGCCCTCGCCTCTCCATCGGACTTATCGCTCGTCACAGGATGTTTACAATAATTTTTAATTTGTGCAATTATTAATCACTTTTCTATCTGCCTCATTTGCATAATAATTAGTCATCTCACTGTTTGGCATGCCTGTGAATGACAGTGTTTTAAATTGAATTAAGATTTTAATATTCTATTTTCCTGCTTTCTTCCCCCTCACACGCTAATCAAAGTCAGATTTGGCAACCAGAGGGAGGGTGGGGAGGCACTTGGCAGACACTGGACTTGGCCTGCTCCGAGCTCCTGAGACTGAGCTGGGAGGGGGGCACCCCAAACCTGGCGCCCGAGGGGTTAACCAGCCTTGCCTAAGGAGCAGAGGGAGGCGATGAGAGAGAAGTGGGCAAAGGCAACTGGGGAGAGAGGGCACCATCCCCGCTCAGTGGCACCAGAAATCAAGAAAAGCACTTTCATTTTTTGTCCAAACAGGCTGCTTTTTGCAAGGGGAAGTTGGAAAGCACATTACAGGCCAATAATTGATCCCTGGTTACTAGTGTAGGTTAACTTTGATGGCTCAGGGTCCCCCAGGTAGAGCAGCGGCTGGAACAGTCCAAAACCCATTGCCATTCTTTGGACAGACTGAGAAAACAAATCTCTGCTGTTGAGTTGGGCTCCCCTCCCCCTTCTAGAGCTACCGGCTCTCCACACACCAGCAGACCCTCTGCCCAGGCTGGGTGCCTCACAGACACATGCCAGGGAGGATGGGGTTCCGGTTGACAAGCAGCAACGGGGCGGGGGCTCACTGGCCTCTTCAGGGGAGCCGTGAGTTTCTCTCTTTCTTACCCTCAAGCCCCCCTCTGATCATCCCAGGAATCCTGCTCCAGCCCCACCTCCCCACAACTAGGCTTGCCTTTCCTGTTGCCATGGCAATCCCTGTGGCTGCCCTGGATACCCATTGCTGCTCCAGAATTCTCTGCTTAGGCAGGGCAGCTCTCCCCGCAGCCTGTTTAGAACACCTCCCCTTTTACCATCACTGAGGACAAAGGGTGAGGAGCTGGGGTATGATCAAGAACATATGGTCTGCAAAGTCAGATACTGCCTTTCCCGTAAGGTGAGTAGGGAGAGAAGATGGAGCCACGGGAGCTGGTGTGAGCCAGTAGCCAGGACATCACGGCTGGGGAGGGGGGATCAGACTCCACTCATCTTTCCCAAAGCTTTCCCCAGGCCAGAGTAGAGGAAGGACAGCCCTCCTTCTACAGAAATCCCTTCCTCCCACAAGGAATAAGGTCTCCCAACTCTGCTTGACCCAACTTATGGTCAAGAGAGGGAAGTCCCCTAGGTGGGGAAGACAGAAATGGGGTTTTTCTGCCAGAGTTACGAGCTAGATGAGGAGAGAGGGCTAGAAGTTTCCAGGAGAGCCATTCTCCTTCACAGGACTCCACAGCTGGTCTGCATTCTCCAACTCCAAGTCAAGCAAAGAAGATTCTAGGCATTCCTACAGTCCCCTCTGACACAGGGTGCCCCTGGGCTGACCTATGAGCCCTCTTGCTAACCTACCTAGGCAGATGCCAGCCTCGGAAGCTGGTAGTACCACAAACCCACTTGCCCAGTCATTGTCTGAAGGGGCAGGACAAAAATTGCTGGGATTCAGGAGAGGCACAGTCCAATCCTGGAATTACAGGGAGCTTTTGAGAAACCAGTGCCCCCCCCCCCCCCCGTCTCCCCACCCTCCCGCCAGGGCTTTGGGCTTTGTCCCCAGCTTGACCGGAAGGAGCACACAGCCTTCTTATCACTTTGTAAATCAGGCCCAGGTGAGCCCAGATTTCACTGCCTGCCACATCATCAGCAGGGGACGGCAGCCTTTACCACAACCAGCTTCACCCACCACACCCAGCCTCTGCCCCCGCCCCGCCCCCCGCAGCCTTTCCTTCCCACAGCCCCTCAATGGTGAAGGGAGCTCTTCAGGCAGTGAGACCTGCACACAAAGCTGGTGCCGCAGCAGCCTCTGCTGGCCGCCCCCGCCTTCCACACCTTCCCTAGGGATGAAAGCAAGGCCAGCAGACCCTCAGAACTATGCTCACCATGAATTCCAGTTTGCCTAGGACAGTCCTGGTTTACACCTGTTGTCTCAGCTTAATTATGAATAGCACACGTGTGCTCACACACACATTACTAATGGACAATAAATTAAATGGTCTCTCTAATCACAGGCAAGGGGAGGGCCCCAGAGAGCCTGGGGAGAGAGTGGAGAAGCCCTGAGCAGAGAGACAAGCAACCTTCTCTCAGTCCCCAACCAAAGATGAAGCTACTCCCTTTCAGTCAGCACCGAGAGGAAAAGTCAGAGCCCCTGCCCTGGGCCAGAGCACTGGCACCTCCACAGTCCAGCTTGGGGAGAGAGGTCCAGGATGCAGGTCCTTCCCAAGGTGGGAGACACCTGACAGAAGGAACAGAAAAAAGGAAGATAGAAGAACCGGCTCAGCCAAAAGGTAGAAGTCTGAAGGGAATAAAATGCTATCTTTACGTGTCCGGCAAACGGCAACACAGAGCAGGGTGCATCGGCCCATCCACAGTGCAGGAGGGCAGCCCCATCCAGCTGGTTGCCTGGTACTGCTCTGGGCTGTGCCCTCTGCCCCTCCCAAAGGCCCACCTAGATTGGAAAGCCCCTCTCTCCTCCCTACCCTCCTCTTCACCTGCTTTCCCCCAGCCAACTCCTTAGCTTGAATTGCAAAATCAATGAAGACTGTTCACAAGCCCCCCATCCCCAACCTAAGAGATGAGGAAGAGAAATCAGAGCAGTCAGGCCCAGGATAGCGGGACTCCTGGATGCCTTCCTTTTGTGCTGTTACCTGGTTGATGCAAGGCCCTTAGGGGTCCCCTTTTGCTCCACCTATCTGAGTTGGGATTCCTAAGTCAGAGGTATAGGGACCACCACTGTGTTTCTTTGTAGGGTGGGAATGAGGTTACAGGTATTGGGGAATGTCTATGTCCTATCACTCAGAGAAGTTCATGTAAATTAGCTGCAAAGTAATATACAAATGCATACTAGCTACATCAGAAACCAATAATTGCGCATTTTGGGGACTCAGATAGCAACAACAGTCCCCACTCCATAGCCAGTCTAACAGGTATGAAGTGATATCTCACTGTGGCTTTAATTTGCATTTCCCTGATTAGTGATATTGAGCATTTTTTTTTTTTAATGAGTCTGTTGGCCACCTATATATCTTCTTTGGAAAAATGTCTATTCAGATCCTCTGCCCATTTTTTAATTGTTTTTTTTTTTTTGCTATTGAGTTGCATGACTTCTTTATATATTTTGAATATTAACCCTTTATCAGATATACGATTTGCAAATATTTGCTCCCCTTCGGGAGGTGGCCTTTTCATTTTATTGATGGTTTCCTTTGCCATGCAGAAGCTTTTTAGTTTGATGTAGTACCACTTGCTTATTTTTGCTTTTGTTGCCTTTGCTTTTGGAGTCAGATCACAAAATCATCACCAAGACAGATGTCAAGGAGCTTATCTGTGTTTTCTTCAGGAGATTTATGGTTTTCGGTCTTACATTTAAGTCTTTAATCCCCTTTGTGTTAATTTTTGTGAATGGTATAAGATATAGCCCAGCTTCATTCTTTTGCATGTGGCCATCCAGTTTTCCCAACACCAGTTGTTGAAAAGACTATCTTTTCCCAATTGTATATTCTTGCCTCCTTTGTTGTAAATTAACTGGCCATATGTATGCGAGTTTATTTCTGAGCTCTCTATTCTGTTCCATTGATTTATGTGTCTCTTTTTATGCTGATTCCATACTCTCTTGATTACTATAGCTTTGTGATATAGTTTGAAATCAGGGAGTGTGATGCCTGCACGATCTTCTCTCTCAAGATTGCTTTGGCTAAACAGATACATGAAAAAGTGCTCAACATCACTCGGCATCAGGGAAATACAAATCAAAACCTCAATGAGATAATGAGATACCACCTCACACTAGTCAGAATGGCTAAAATTAACAAGTCAGGAAACGACAGATGTTGGCGAGGATGCGGAGAAAGGGGAACCCTCCTACACTGTTGGTGGGAATGCAAGCTGGTGCAACCACTCTGGAAAACAGTATGGAGGTTCCTCAAACAGTTGAAAATAGAGCTACCCTACGACCCAGCAATTGCACTACTAGGTATTTACCCCAAAGATACAAATGTAGTGATCCAAAGGGGCACGTGCACCCCAATGACTACAGCAGCAACGTCCACAATAGCCAGACTATGAAAGAGCCTAGATGTCCATCAACAGATGAATGGATAAAGAAGATGTGGTATATATACACAATGGGATATTATGCAGCCATCAAAAAAATGAAATCTTACCATTTGCAATGACATGGATGGAACTAGAGGGTGTTATGCTAAGCGAAATAAGTCAATCAGAGAAAGACAAGTATCAGATGATCTCACTGATATGAGGAATTTGAGAAACAAGACAGAGGATCATAGGGGAAGGGAGGGAAAAATGAAACAAAACGAAACCAGAGAGGGAGACGAACCATAAGAGACTCTTAATCTCAGGAAACAAACTGAGGGTTGCTGGAGTGGAGGGGGGTGGGAGGGATGGGGTGGCTGGGTGATGGACACTGGGGAGGGTATGTGCTATGGTGAGCACTGTGAATTGTGTAGGACTGATGAATCACAGAACTGTATCCCCGAAACAAATAGTACGTTATATGTTAATTTAGAGAGAGAAAAAAAAAAGATTGCTTTGGCTATTTGTAGTCTTTTGTGTTTCCACACAAATTTCATGATAGTTCTGTGAAAAATGCCCATTGGAATTTTGATAGGGATTGCACTGAATCTGTAGATTGTCTGGGGTAGTATGAACATTTTGACAATATGAATCCTTCCAATCCATGAGCACAGAATATCTTTCCATTTATTTATGTCTTCTTCAATTTCTTTCATCAATGTCTTATAATTTTCAGTGTAAAGGTCTTTTACCTCCTTGGTTAAATTTATTCCTAGGCATTTTATTCTCTCTGATGCAATTGTAAGTAGGATTGTTTTCTTAACATCTCTTTCTGCTGGTTTGTTGTTAAAGTATGGAAATGCAACAGATTTTTATATATTGGTTTTATATCCTGTGACTTTACTGAATTTGTCTATTAGTTATAACAGTGCTTTTGATGGAGTCTTTTAGGGCTTTATAAAATCATGTCATCCTCAAATCATGACAGTTTTACTTCTTCCTTATCAATTTGGATGACTTTTATTTCTTTTTCTCCCCTAACTGCTTTACCTAGGACTTCCAATACAGTTTAATAAAAATGGTGAGAGTGGATCTCCTGATCTTGTTCCTCATCTTACAGGAAAAGCTTTTAGCTTTTCACCATTGCATATGATGTTGGACTATGGGCTTATCATAATGTGGCCTTTATTATGTCAAGGTACACTGCAACTATACCCACTTTGTTGAGAGTTTTTAATCATGAATGGATGTTGAATTTTGTCAAATGCTTTTTCTGTATCTATTAAGATGATCATATGATTTTATCCTTCGTTTTGTTAATGTGGTGCATCATGTTGATTTGTGGATGTCAAACCATCCTTGTAATGCTGGCATAAATCCCACTTGATCATGGTATGTAATGTTTTTAATGTATTGTTGAAGTCAGTTTGGTAACATTTTGTTGAGGATGTCTTCATCCATGTTCACCAGAGATAATGGCCTGTAAGTTTCTTTTCTTGGTGTGTCCTTGTCAGTTTTGTTATCAGAGCAGTGCCAGTCCTTATAAAATGAGTTTGGAGGTGTTCCCTCCTCTTCAACCAATTCATATTTTTCTGTTTAGTCTTGGAAGTTTGTATGGTTCTAGGAACTTATCCATTTCTTCTAGGTTGTCCAATTTGTTGGTGTCTAATTGTTCAGAGCAGGCTCTTATGATGCTTTGTATTTGTGGAATCAGTTATAATGTCTCCTTTTCATTTCTGACTTTACTCTTTTTTTTCTTGGTGAGCCTAGCTCAAAGTTTATCAATTTTGTTTATTTTCAAAGAACCAGCTCTTAGTTTCACTGATCTTTTATATTATCTTTTTAGTCTCTATTTCAATCATTTCCACTCTGGTCTGTTATTTCCTTCTACTAACTTTGGGCTTCATTTGTTCTTCTTCTAGTTCCTAGTGTAAAGTTAGATTGTTTGAGATTTTTCTTATGTCTTTAGGTAGGCATGTGTCACTATGAATTTTCCTCTAGAACTGCTTGTGCTGCATCCCACACATTTTGGTACATTGTATTTCCATTTTCATTTGACTTAAGGTATGTTTTTATTTCTTCTTTGACTTCTTTGTTGACCCATCGGCTGTGCAATAGCCTGTTGTTTAATGTCCATATATTTGTGCTTTTTCCAGTTTTCTTCTTGTAATTAATTTCTAGTTTCATACCATAGTGGTCGGAAAAGAGCCTTGATATTATTTCAATCTTCTTAAATTTATTAAGACTTGTTTTCTGGCCCTAACATATGATCTATCCTGGAGAATGTTCCATGTGCCTTTGAGAAAAATATATATTCTGCTGCTTTGGGATGAGATGTTCTGTAGATATCTATTAAGTCCATCTGCTCTAATGTGTCATTTAAGGCCAATGTTTCCTTATTGACTTTCTGTCTGGATGATCTATCCGTTGGTGTAAGTGGGGTATTAAAGCCACCCTCTATTGTATTGCTGTCTATTTCTGCCTTCAGGTCTGTTAATATTTGTTTATAGATTTAGGTGATCCTATGTTGAGTGTATATTTACAAATGTTACATAAATAGGAAGCATTTAATTCAGCCATTCTGTCCATAGCAAGGAAGCCAGGGAAAACTCCACAAAGGAAATACTTGAGCTGGGCCCTGAAGGATGAGTAAGGTTCTGCTAGGGGGAGAAAAAAAGTGGAACAGCAGAAGCAGCTTGGAAAAGCAAAGAAGTCTGAACCAGTAGTGTTTGATCAGGGAAGTGAAGTCCAGAGAGTCCAGGGAAGGGGTTGATAGGTCAAGCCACAAAGGACCTAGAATGCTGAGGAGACTGGACATATCCTGTAGATAAAGGCCTCCTCCTCAGCCACCTCCCACATGACCCTGGAGACATTCCTATCCTCAGTCTCCCCATCAATACTGGGATAATCATGCTTCCCCTACCCTGCTCCCATGAAAGCTACAAACTCCCTGTCACTGGGACTGGGTTGGCTTGCAAGCCACTCCATGAATATCTGACAGGAGGTCCATGTGCTAATTAAGCATTCATCTAATGTTGTATACATGCAATCAGTTATGAGCCCTGCTAATTAGAGACCTCCGCTAAGAAGCTGTGGGGAGCATCCTAAAGGCAACGAACCCAACTTTGGCCTGCTCATCCAGAGTAACCACCTAAAGACTCATTCATTCATTCATTCATTCATTCATTCATGTGGACAGAGTGCATAGGCTTTGGTAGCTCTGTGGTCTTCAGCCTCAGCTTCCTCGTCTACAAAATGGAAATATTAGCATCAAATTTGTTGAGCTTTTATTAAATTACTGTATAGAGAGTGCCTGGCTCACAGTGGCACTAAATAAATGACAGCTATTAGTTCTGAGGTATAATACCTTAGGCTAGGAGCTGGGGATTTGAATGAGTAAAAGGCCTAAGAAAATAAGACTATAAATAAGAAAATGACTAAATCCTGGCCACAAAAATGATTAAAAGTCCTGGCCACAGGACCTCATGATCCACAAAACAGCACGACGAGTGTTGAGTACAAAGTGCCATGAAAACTCAGAGAAAAGCTGCTTTGGTAAGCTGAGCCTGCACTTAAAGAGGTAGCATTAATTTGCAATGTAAGTTCCCAAGCAAAATTGAGCAGACAGGGAAGTCTCCCAGCACCTGGAGGGGTTGCTTGACTTTGTCTTTGTCAAAAGTTTCTCTAAAGTCCACATTGAAAGACTTTCCAATTTGTAACTCAGAAGTTAAGTCCTTTCCGGGGCGCCTGGGTGGCTCAGTCGTCAAGCGTCTGCCTTCGGCTCAGGTCATAGTCCCAGGGTCCTGGGATCGAGCCCCCATTGGGCTCCCTGCTCAGCAGGAAGCCTGCTTCTCCCTCTCCCGCTCCCCCTGCTTGTGTTCCCTCTCTCGCTGTGTCTCTCTCTGTCGAATGAATAAATAAAATCTTTAAAAAAAAAAAAAAAAGAAGTTAAGTCCTTTCCAGCATGAGACCATATCGGCTGGGCTAATCTGAGCCTTAGGAGAAGGAATGGGCCCAGATGACCCTCATTCTGGCTTCCTCCTCTTCTGCACCAAGAAGAACCAGAACAAGGCCCACCATCCCATTCCCTTATATGTTGAAAAAGTGTCAAAGAGGAAGAAAGTGGGATTTCTAGATGCTGAAGGTAACTATACTGGAACGAAATGCCAACTGCACAAATAGGCAATGGGGGTAACATGGCTCCATCTCTTCCCTCACAATATGTATAAAGGAGCAGTGGTAAGGCTTGACAATAGTTTTCTCAGTGGGTATCGTGGTGGGACGTGGTCACCGTGGAAGCTAATTCAACCTCAAATACATTGATTACAGTATAACATCTAGATGCAGAGTCCTACTGTACTCTGATCAGAACACCCTGGGCCTTAGGACTCAAGCCAGGTGCTGTGCTTTAAAAGGGGCAAACTGGAAGACCTCAGAGAAGATAGTATGAGACTCAAAATCGCGGTTGAAGGAACTAGAAAAAAATAAGATGGGCCCAGCAGCCTTCTTAGAACGTCAACATAACTGTGACATGGTAAAGGAGGTGCCATAAGGAAGGGGGGAAATGTCTTACTCTCAGGTACCCAAGCACTGAATCCCAGAGATTGTTCCCTCAGTCCCTGCACTTTAGTGATATTCCACTACCCACACAGCACCTGCAGGATGGCAGTGTTCAAGAATAGTTCCTCTAGTCCATTTAGTCTGTCCCTGAGCTTCATTTATGACTCCAGGACCCAGCTGGAGGCCACCGTCAAAGGTTCACTGTGAGCAGGTGCCCAGACCCTCGGCACTGACGACCTCGGTCCTCTCTCGGGTCCTTCGTCCCTTTCCCCCCACCTCCTCCTCTTGTGTCAGCCTCCAGCTGGGCTGTCATACTTGGTTCTGCTGCTGGACTGGGGATGGAGGGGAGGGAAGAGGCCTTGGGTGAATTGTCTGTAGACACAATTAGATCCTCTATGTATAAAGATTAATTTTCTACTGCTTTTTATGTAAAAATTCTCTGCTTCCTTTCTGGTGTAAATTCCAATACAAAACTCTCCTCCTATTATCTTAATCTTGTGACTCCAGGAAGAGAAAGAAAAATTTATTCCAACACATCTAAAATGTTGTCAGATAGAAGAGGGGTTATTAGTCTGTTTTCGTGAGCCCCAAGATGGATAATTCAGACAAATGGTGAAGCCACAGGGGAACATAACTGCAAATAGCTAGAGCTGCCCAAGAATGAACTACATATGTCCCAGGAGGTGGTGACAGGGCAGAAAGTGTTCAAACATGAGTGGGAGTGGCACTTCTAGAAATGTGATTTGCCAGGAGATTCCAGCATGGAGTGGATGTAAGAATCAGATCTTTTTAAGACCCTAACATTGATTCTAGGATTCATACAATTAGCTGCGTATTTCCATGGGACCAAAGGTTGGGAAGGCAGCTGAACTAGTAAACTGATGGAAAATACTTCTAAATTAATTGGTGTGGAGAAACTGTCATGAAAAGAAGTCCTTTATGGTATCATCCACCTCTGAGATTCCTATTTTGTGATTCCAGGTTCTGAAAGAGTGTCAGCTACGGGCCAGATCTATCCAGCTCACAAGATGCAGGCCAAACCTTCTGTCTCAGGACGACAACTGGTGTGTATGTGCACGTGTGTGTCTCCGGACAACAACTGGTGTGTGTGGGGGTGGGTGCACCTTGCATGGGCACATACACACATACACATGCCCACGCACACACATCTCCCCCACACAGTGGCCATCCAGAGTTGGACTTGAGGCTGGTGGCGGCCTGACCAATCACACAATCGCCTCCCCTCCCCTAGCTGCTGGTCCAGGGAGTCTGTTGTTAGGGAAACAGCAGCTTCCACCTCCTCTCCTAAAGCCAGTAGGGTGCCTTTCGTATTCAATGAGGAGGACCAACGCAACCTAAGACACCAAACCTCAGAACCAATGCGGATCAGCCAGAGTACAAGCACTCCCTCAGGGGCTGGGGACAGAGGGCAGGGCTGAGCAAGGACACTACTGTGATCACAACCCAGAAAGCCAGAGGGCTACAGTGCCTGCCTTCAGCCATGTCTGTGGGCTCTGTGACTATGGCTGAGTGTCCTCCATGAGGTCACCCCCTCCATGGCATCCCCCTTCTCACTCCCCTCCTGCTTTCTGTTTCTGTTCATCTAAAGCAGGGTTGACAGGCAGAAGACCCAGGATGCTTCCTGTCCTGGGTACTGCTCTCACTTGTTCAGGGCATGCTTGGACCTCAATGGTTCAAAGGCTGACCTCCCCATAGAGTTCTTTTCACCTGCTCCCCACTACAACTGCAGCCTCCCAACATCAGCTTGTAGGTAAAATGGCCCTTTGACAGGTCCTTTTTCCATCCTGCAGGACACCACACGCCCTACCCTGCCACCTCCACTGTACATTGGCCAGTCAAAAACGTTCCTTCTTCACCAGCCAAAAAGCTGCTTCCAAAAGGGCAGCAGCCCCTTCTCTCCCAATCAATCTCCCACCCTTTAACATAAAATGCTGAGTCTCAGTGTGGCCAGTGTAGAGGGCCACCCTTCCTCCCTCTCCCTGAAAGAGTGTCAGCTACTGGCAAATCTCTGTGGAGGGGCTTCCACAGGTCCCTGGGGGTACACCCTTGCAGCTTCTGAAGTAGCAGGCGAACAAACCCCTGACTCAGCTCCAACCCTCTTGTGTTCCTAGAGACTCCTTTAACCTCTGCCTCTTAGGAAACACAGACACAGCAACGGCATCAATCCCTGGGATCGGACAGGCCCCTATCCAGAATTCGGCCCATCAATCGGTGAGTCCACCACTAACCGATGTCATTATAAGCCACCCCTCTCGCAACCAGCATTACTTTCAAGGCCAAAAAATAAATAAGTAAAGACCTGAAATGCTCATTAAAAATAACTGCTTTTGAAATGCCATATGCCCTTAAATGCAGAGTAAGCATCCCCCCTCCTCCACCAAATAAACTCAGTTTGGGTCCTGTCTGAACACCATGGCCACCAGCAGCACCCCAGCTCTGGGGAGAGCAGGGGTAATGGGTAAGGGAAGGAGGCCAGGAAGTAAAAAGGGAAGCCTCACTCCTCTTCCCCATGCTCTGGACACCCCCTCTCCAGGGCACAGAAGACTCTGCCCACTTGCCCACCCTTCTTCAAAAAGCACAGCCCTCAATCCCACCCAGCAAGACACACCAGCTCTCCAAACCCAACCAGAAAACAGCCAACCTGGTGTTGAGGTAGTGGGGAGGGAGAGTGGAGCCAACAGGGACACGAGCCATTGATACAGCAGAAACACTCTGGAAATATCTTACTGTTAACATTTTCGGAGAAGATACTATTTATGAAGCACCTCCTGCATGCCAGACACTAGGCTACTTTATTTCAGATCCTCTCAATAACCCAGGAAGTGAGTTTACAAATAAGCAAACTGTGGCTCAGAGAAGTGAAGTAACTTGCTAGAAAGTAGCACCTGCCTAGTCTTTGATGACCTCACTCTCTAGGAGACTGATCCCCCACTGACTTCCCCCTATGCATGATGGGGAGATAAGAAGGACCCCCGTGAACAAAGAGGCAAAAGTTAACTTCCCCCTGTGGGGAAGCAGCAGCAGGGGGCTTGCTTTGCCCGAGTCAGAAGTCCAGGAGGAAATAGCCCCAGGAGATATTAAATACCGCCTGGAGCCCCTTCCCAAGGTTCCATCCCAGCTGCAGCCCCCAAGCTACTTCAGCCAGTACTGCAAGCCTCAGTGGCTGCCCTTCAGTACAACCTATGGAGAATGTTACAAGCCCTGGAGGAAGGAGCCAATGACTTACCATGGGAAGAAGTCCTCCCATTCAGGTGAGTCTTAGCCTGAGGACAAAAAGAGTAACAGGGGATAGAGGAGTGGCATTCTGTATAAAACCCTCTGTTCCCAACCCACCCACTTCACCCTACCCAGGGGCACTCCTGTCCCCCAGGCAGATCCCAGGGCTGGGAACCACCAGCCCCGCAGAATGCAGAAAGCAGCAAGGGCCCCAGCCCTCTCTCTTCAAGAGCCCTTCAGGCAATATCTGCCGACAAGGTCAGCTGGACCTACTCTGGGAGGGCACCACACCAATAACCCATCCTAGCCTAGCCTCCTTCCTGTTTAGGCTGGACTAATGGGCAGCCCTGTCATCCAGGCTTTCAAAGCACAGGTGGTCCAAAGAGGGGTAGGAGGATAATCTGGATTCCACACTAAGAATGCTTTAGTTCTGGGTTGGGGAGACAACCCTGAAGGTCAGAGTGGTGGGAGAGGCAATGCTCTTATACTTGCGTCTATTATTCCCATTATAAAAGGTTTAGTTAAATAGAACCAGCTGTGCAGGAGCCAAGGCTGGGGTCCAGGTCCCCACCTTTACTCTCAAAAGACTTTCCCACACAGAGGAGGCCCTCTGCACACTTTCTTGCTCCCCTCAGGTGACTACCACATGACCACTACTCATCAGATTTCCTTCCAGAACCCTCTTCTTGGCGAGTCCATGTTCCCAGTTCACATTCAGGGCAGAAAAACAGCACCAAAAATGCATCCAGGCTACATGGAGTATATCAGCCAATACCAGAGTAACTTCCAAGCCTCAGGGTGGAATCAAGTCCTCAAAACTGACCCAAACAAGAGCAGCCAGGGGATTGAGTGAGTAACCAAAACTCTTGGCAAGCTGCTGGGTTGCTGTGGAGGAAAGGGCCAGAGGAGGGCTCTATTGCCCAAGAGAAAGGTACAGACAGTCCCCAACTTATGATGGTCTGACTTAAAATTTTTTGACTTTATGATGGTGCCAAAGTGATATGCGTTCAGAAGAAACTGTACTTCAAGTTTTTAATCTGGATCTTTTCCCCAAGCTAGCGATACACAGTACAACACTCTCTGGTGATGCTGAGCCATGGCAGCAAAACACAGCTCCCAGTCAGCCCCTCAATCATGACGGTCAACAGCCAACACCCTGACAACCTTTCTGCACACATGCAACTATTCTGGTTTTCACTTTCAGTACAGTATTCAAAAAGCTACATGAGCTATCCAATACTTTATTATAAAGTAGGCTTTGTGTTAGATGATGTTGCCCAACTATAGGCTAATAATAAGTGTGCTGAGCACGTCTAAGGTAGGCTAGGCTAAGCTATGACGTTCAGTAGTTTAGCTGCATTAAATGCATTTTCCACTTCTGATATTTTCAATTTACAAATAGGTTTAGGGAGATGTAACCTCATTGTAAGTCAAGGTAGATTTGTAATAATTCAGAACTCAGTCTTCTGTCCAATTCAGAGACATAGCAATAGAAGGCAACAAAGCAAAGGACTAACTATTTCAGAATCTTGGATCTCCTACTAGTTCAGATTTACTTCATCCTCACTTCACCCAAATTTTGGGCCAGGACAAACTGCATGCTGTTCATAACTGGGGGTCAGTCTCTTCCCCTCCTCATCTCTGGGAGACATGAGCTCTAACTGCATGCCAGGAGGTAGAGTAGGCAGGCTTATCCAGTCCTCAGGAAACTACAGAGAATCAGGCACTCCACTTGCCCAGCCTTGTCCTGGCTTCTTGCCTATTAAAGCCTGCTTCCCTTGGGGGCTCAGAATGGCCCGCTATCTCCCTCTGACTCATCCCTGAAAGGTTAGAAGGCCCCGCTCCGATGCAAAGCCAGGAATATGCACAGGGTGCCACACAAATGTTACAGAAATGGAGTCCTATTCCAGAGTGGTGGAGGGAAGGAGAGCCTTCACTGGGAAGGGAGCAGGGATGCCAACCTAGCAAATGAGAGAGCTCTTCACCCCCTACCCCAACATACACACTTTCAAGCTCATTTCCCAAGACCACATTCTCTCAGCCATAGCCTCTAGCTGCCTACCAGAACGATTTAGAAAGGCTCTCTGTTGCCCTATCCTTTGGCTGCAGGTGTTGCATCCTCTCTGCTGGGTCTTAGCATGATAACTGGGAAGTGTGAAAAGAAGCAGAGATAAAATAAATTAAAATTTTATTTTCAGGGAAGAAATAAATTTGTATTCGAAATTACCTGAAAATACTCTGTATAGTTTAAGCAGACACACAAATGAAAGCAAAAAAAAAAAAAAAGCATGTAGATGGCACAGTGCCCCTCTATTTGGCATGCCTGGATTGGTTCATAGGTATAGGTCCTGACTTGTAGAAATGTTTTCACCTCATGTAGCAAATATATCCAGGCTGTGCAGAAAGACACTGCCCCTGGCTGGCAGCCCACTATGCATCAGCATCAGAGGCCAGGATGACTGAAGCAGGAGATGACCCTCCTGGGTAGGAAGAATACTGCCAAGTTTGATGGAGACACAGTGACTAGGGTAAAGTGCCCAAGCTCTCTGTCAAGAGGTAATCAGGGCGCCTGGGTGGCTCAGTTGGTTAAGCGACTGCCTTCGGCTCAGGTCATGATCCTGGAGTCCCGGGATCGAGTCCCACATCACGCTCCCTGCTCAGCAGGGAGTCTGCTTCTCCCTCTGACCCTCTTCCCTCTCATGCTCTCTATCTCTCATTCTCTCTAATAAATAAATAAAATCTTTAAAAAAAAAAAAAGAGGTAATCAGCATGAAGGTCTCAACTACTCCCTCAAACCAAGAAGGGAGATGGGGGTACACAGCGAACAAGGGAGACAGTTTACCCTGCCAGAACACCCCAACCCCACTATTCTTGGGAAATCCAGAAATTTTACTTTCCTGAATCTGCAGCCACTTATGCACTCTGATATTTGCCCCTGACCACAGAGGTGAGGTATATATGCACTTAATGTATGTTTGACACGTGGTAAGTACTTAACAAAAGATAGCAATTAAAATCATCATATTATTATTTCCCCAGACAAGCATTCCTCTCTTCCCAGATGCCTTATCTACCTCCTCCCAAATCCTTGGTAAAAAGAGTCAAGGGTAAGCGCCCCTCTAGCACACTCAGGGCCTTCAAAGCCAAGTTACAAATTGAAAGTGCCAGCAAGCAATTCTCCCAAGTACACTATGGAGACCCTCGTCACAGAGGCCATGAGAAGCTGCCGGTAAGAACTTCTGTCTTCCCCTGGATCCCCCCTTCACCTCTCACCTTGTTACAGGCCTGAGGGTAGGTCGGGGCTGAACCGTTGGGAGAGGAGTCTGATGTTTAAATCCTGGATCTTTCCCAACCTAGAGCAATTGTGAGCAAGTTAACCTCTCTGCACAAATGTTTTCTCCTCTGCCAAAAGAAAAAGAAAACAAACCTTGCTTACTAAGCACCAGACATTGCATTTTTCTCTGGGACTCCTTGTAACTCCTTAGCTGACAGAGGGTGCTAAGCATAATATGCAGGGAGGGGAAGATTTGCTCCTTTTCCTTTTCCAACTGCTCTCTGACCCCTCAAAAGGGCGTAGGTTCACGGGCACCAACTGAGGATCAAATGACCACCAGGACCTCCTACATGCCCTTGTTTTCTGAAAGGTTGAACCTATGTAAGCCCAAAGTCAACAGCATCAAATGGGAGCCAAACACAATTTCTCTACTGAACAAAGGAAAACATTCAGGTACAAAGGAAAGACTGAGTCTTTCCAGATACACATGGCAAAAAAAAAAAAAAAAAAAAAAAAAAAGCCAGCTTCATGGGGGAGACACAACTCAGCTCCAGCCTGGCCCTAATCTCTCTGCCTATTTTTACAGGCCAGTCCAGCTGCCTGAAAGCCAGCTCCAGAAGTACTTAGGACAACAGGACTCAAAACTCCCAAATGTAATAATCATGGGGGAAAGAAACTGCCCAAGTAACCTATGTAAAAATGCAGAGTTCAGGACACACGTCTCCTAACCAACTCCAACTTAAAACCAAGGTCCCACGAAAACCACCTCACAGCTAGATTCAGCTTTCCCACTGGGATTTCCCAGC